GAAAGGAATATTAAACATATATTAAATAGTGAAAAGAGTAATCTTACGTGATTACGGTTCCAACTATATGTAAGTGACATATAGCATTACGAAAAAATATAACCACATAATATGTATAAAATAAATAAATAAATAAAAATGTATAATATGATCTTAATTCCAACTATATGTATTTAACATATAGCTTTACGGAGAGTATAATCATATAAAGTAAAAGTAAAAAAATGCATAATATGATTTTAATTCCAACTATATGTATTTAACATATAGCTTTACGGAGAGTATAATCATATAAAGTAAAAGTAAAATATGGTTAATTCGTGTGTTCTTTGATTCCAACTATATGTATATGGCATATAGCTTTACGGAAAAATAAGATCACATGTATGTATGCAAGGAAGGAAGATGCATAATTTAATATTGATTCCAACTATATGATTATAACATATAGCATTACGGAATTATATTAAAAAAAAACTGCATCTATCTCCGGGGAAAAAAATGAATGAGGCATAATATCAAACACTTGGTTTGCAAGCAAAAAATAGATCTCAAAGATTTTGAGTTGAAAAATACCTCAAAGATTTTGAGTGTTGCGGTGGTGGACGTTGGAGTGGACTGCTGCGCAGAAGTGTTGGAAGGCTGCTGTGGAGAAGTGTTGGAGTGGACTGCTGTAGACTGCTGTGGCACTTTGGAGGAGGGAGGCTGCGGACTGGTGCGACAATTTGGAGGAGGGAGGCGTGGAAAAATTTAGGGCTACGTGCTGATAACGTATTGTGGGGAATGTGAGAGAGGCGTGTTAGTTCATTAGCAAGCCTCCTTTAAATAGGAGGAAAATAGGGTTTACAAGGCATGGGCAAATGAGCCATATAAATATAAACCTAAATACACTTTCTATCTATAACGAATGCACATTAAAGGTAATTTCCTTCAACACATATGCTTTTTAGAGGGTAAAACGATATTTTAATAATCTTATTACCTTCTTATATACTCCCTCCGCCCCGTTGGAATGTTCCTGCTTTCCTTTTTTGGATGTCCCGTTAGAACGTTCCCGTTTCCCTAAATGGAAAGGTATACTACATCAAAACAGGGTCAAACAGTGCAAAACAGTATCAAATAGTGTCGAAACAGTATCAAAACAGTAAAATTTACCCCCTAGTAAGTTTATTTTCTTAATATGTGAGTAGATCAAACCGGGAACATTCCAACGGGGTGGAGGGAGTATAAATAAATCAGGTAGAAAAATAGATATGAAAATCTACTCAAAGTTAAAGTTGAATATGAAGACGGGTTTCATAATTCATAATACTCCATATGAAACTTGAACCACACATATTTCTATTTTATTAATCGTCTCCATCTCACGAAACTTTGCAAAGTTTCCCTTTTTGATCATTTCTAAAGCTTTGTCAATTTCGTTTAAAGTAAGAAAATGCGATTAAAATTGTTTCTCACTTTTCTGCACAAATATCAACCTTATAATTTCACGCGAAGTCAAAGTTTTATGGGGGAAGGGAGTATATCAATAATTACTCCGTATCATATAAGGAGTACGAACATTACAAGGTTTTGGTACAATTTCTTCTTTTTATGCGTTTCTTTTGAATTATTAAATCACTTCAATTTGAATGTTTCTTGCATGTTTCTATTGTATTGACTCCTACCAAACCACTTTTATGTTAAATTCGGATCTGATCACAGTAAGCCTCGTCAGTACTGGCTCCAAAGGACGAATCCAGCAGGACTTACATCACCTTTCAGGCTGCTCCTTCCACCACACGAATCCGCCTCCTACCACACGAATCCTTCAGCCGCCGGTCTTGGTTCATTAGATCATCACATTTTTTAAGTGCCTTATTGTGGAAACTATTTATGTTACCCACATGAGAAGCTAATCGCTCCGTTTTATTCCAACTTGAGAACCCTTCAGTTACAAATGCATCATTCCCAGCACGATTCTCAAAGTGATCTCTAAACAAGTAACAAGGCAAACAAAAGGCTTTGTCATCTTGTATACTATATTCTAACCAATTAGGATATTGATCAAACCATTTAGATTTAAAGCGTCTTAAAGTCTTCCCAATCTCTTTTTGTGGGAAGTCATGACCACGTGGTTGACAAGGTCCTTTAATCAAATATTTTCTCTTGATTTCATCTATTTGATTAGGATGGTACTCAGAAATTTTCCTTCTTTTTGCGGGATCTGAGGGAAACTCATCCAAATCAACTTGTTTAGGTATTGATGAAGAACATTGAGATGAAATATTTGAAGCATTATTATTTGAACTACCCGGTGAAGGAACGGTAGCCCAATATCTCTTCATTGAGTCTGGAAAAGAAGTTAAATTAAAATTAACTGTTTTAATACATTTCATTTAACTACCTAAAATATTATAAAACATTCTAAAATTGATATAATTAACAATTTCACTAACTAAAATTAAAATTAACTGTTTTAATACATTTCATTTAACAATTTCATCAATTACATTTAATCTAATTGAAAAAATTAAAGTGAAAATTGAAAAGATTAAAGGCTTACCTAGACCCTAGTGGCGAGTTGGCGACTGGAGAAGTGCGGACAGCCGGACAGCGGACTGCGGACAGCCGGACAGCGGACCGCAGAGGTAAGAGGTTCCGGCCACTGCACGAAGTGCGGACTGCGCGGAGGTTCCGGCGAGCGGGCGAGAGAGCTTTCTGCGCGAAGGAGCGTCGCCGCGTCGAACGGGGGAAGTATTTTGTTTTCGTCGTTCACTTCTTCAGAGAGGATTTTGGGACAGGCTGAAGGATTTTGAGTTATTGGGGGCAGGCCATTTTTTTTATTGGGGGCAGGCCATTTTTTTTATTGGGGGCAAACTATTGGGCTTTTAATATTTTTTAAAAAATTAGGAGGGTTTACTGGGCCTTTATTGGGGGCAGCTGCCCCCCCCCCCCCTCCAGCAAGAGTAGATCCGCCCTTGATTGGGAGCAGAACCCCCCTCATCTCACCTTGGTGGGAATTAAATCCAAGACCTCTCACAAATGGGTGGATGATTATCGATCAAACTACATCCACCAACCCATGTCTTTCATTTCTCACGCATATGACAGCAGCCTCCAAGTTTGTTGTGCCGAATGGTTGTTGAGATTTTGATAATGGATGTATTTGACTCACAAATGAGATACGACTATACAAGTATACTGGACTTAAATAGATTAGATAAAATTACATAAAATGATTGGTCAAATTTTAGACAATAATAGTACACGTAAAATAGATACTCCATCCATATTTAAAAGTTCATTTTTTATAAGCTTTTTCTTTAAGTAAACACTAAGGATGTTTTTACTTGGACTGTAATTTGCTGGTCTGGTCTGGTCTGGTTTGATCTGGTCTGGTCTGATCTGGTCTGGTCTGATCTGGTTTGGTCTGGTCTGTACTGATCTGGTCTGGTCTGGTTTCTTTGTATTTTTATAACTATCCAAGTCTGGTCTGGTCTGAACTGGTCTGAACTGGTCTGGTCTGGTCTGATCTGGTCTGGTCTGGTTTGGTCTGGGATGAATTACAGTCCAAGTAAAAACATCCTACAACTCTGTATTAGGTGCTAAGGAGCAGCGCCACCTCCTAGGGTTTCCCTAGGGGCGTTTGTTCGACTACGATTGTTCGGTCGTGGTGCGAGTTTGGATTTTGCGTCTGTTAGTTGCTGATATAGGCATAGCAGATCGTTTTTGTGTTTTCTTTTTTGGGATTGGGGTCATCGACCTAATCGTTTTGGGATCTATGTTGGTTGATTCGAGCAAAGCATTCGTTGGATGCTTTAATTGTGCCCGAGGTGTTCGGTCTCGACAATGAGCAGATTCAGAGTTTCTGGCAGAGGGTTAGAGCAACAGTTTTGCATGGATAGCTTCGTGGACAAATACAAGAAGATGACGAGTGGGGCAGAGGAAGAAGAACTGGATCTAGATGAAGCTGATGTTGAGATTGTGACAGATAAGCGATGGGCGCGTCCCCCTCCCGAGCCGCCGCCATGGAGTGCAAGTAAATCTAGGGTTTGGAAGAAGACATATCTTATTTGTTTTGTTTATTTTTCCAGTGATTTTTATGCATATTTTGTTATTTGCTTTTTCTTTCTTATTCCAGTTTGTAAGACGTTGATTTTGGATATGGGGGATGAGAGAAATATGGTGACCGTTTTTGGCTTTTTGTTTCCCATTTATGGATCAACGAATTATATTGCTACAGTGATTAGTTCTGAGTTTGGTTCGCGGGATAACGGTTGTCAGATTTCTTTTTGTCATTTGACCCATACTCTGAATTATCTGTTATGGAATTAAGCCGAATTCCTCCAAAAAAAGCCTTTTCTTTAAAAATATTCAAGTTTTATCTTCTTTTTTCTACTTTTTCATCTTCTCTCGTACTTTTTCTATACCATTCATTACTCCTACGTACGGAGTAGTATTATTCTCCCTTAAATCTTGTGTTATAACCTAACCTAACATACGGATCTTTTAAATACGGAGGGAGTATATACCAAATTTGTAAATATCAATTCAATTAAACAAACTTCATTTATGACCAAAATATAGTTGAACCCTTCATGTTTTTAGGTCATTAACATAAATATTTGATTCTTGTCATTAAATCTAGTGAAAAATTGATTTGTCAAGATTTCAATGATGAATTAATTGATTTGTCACTAGGTGTGAGTGAGTGAAAAAATAAAAGGAAAAAAAACTTGTCCTATATAGAATTACAATATAAGTCTATTATATTTTTATTCTTTAAATAAAAATAATAAATGACTTATTTTGGTATTACTAGAATTTTAACATGTTAGTAGTTTCTAAGCTTAAAAACGCTTATTACTCCTGTTTCATAGAATTTTGCAAAAGGAAAATACAGACAGTAGTGTTCATCAATTTTGATATGATCCAACAATCAAAATTAGTATTAATATTATGAGAGAAAAAGGTCGATTAACTTCATATTAAGACTAAAAAAGGAAGCGAGTATAACGAGAATCAGGTGCTGGAAGAACACTATATTGTCTTTATTACTTTTCTATCTATATATTCAGCCGAGACTTGAATAGCGATGTGCCAGGATCAATGGGGGGAGTGTAAAGAACTCCCGCCAGCGCTACAAAGTCAAAAGTCTTCCATGCCCACATTCAGTCCTCACTTCTTTGTTGATTCACTTCTCTCTTCATCAGCTCTAATTTGTTCTTGAGAATACGCCATAGTTTTCGATCTCTGAAATTTTCAATCCAGAATTGTCCGTTTGCCGCTGTTGAGTTTTCCTGGATTATCCAAAGCCAAGATGAAGAGCAGAGGCAAATCAAGTGTAGGTCGATGGCGGACCCTAGGGTTGCCCTTCGTTTTCCTCTTATGCCTCTTCTTCTTCCTCGCAGGCTTCTTCGGCTCTTCTCTCTTCTTTCACCAGGTCTCAGCTCGATTCATTCCTTTCTATGCTAAAATTGTTATGTTTCTATGTAACTAAATACAGAAAGATTTTTATTTAATTTTCAAAGGATGAAGGAATTGTACGGCCTGTGCCTAGGATGCTGGAGTCAATGGATGGTTATGATCCGCAGCCGCACGGCGAGACTGGAGAGGATTCTCTGACTATCATCCCATATCAGGTTTGCATTTTTGCGCCTTTTCCTTCACTATTAGTGTAATAAATCGAAAGCATTTTCCATTTCTTCATCCTTTTATGTACAGTATTTAATGTTCCTAGCTTAATTAACCAGGGAATGATTGTTTTAGTTGATGGTGTTTCGTGCTCTTGTGTTCGTTCTGAGTGTTACTTAGCCTTCCACCAAGAAGGGTCAGTTTAGATCGAGGATTTGGGGGGACGTACTTGAGAATTTTGATTAATCAATCGAATAATTGACTAGATTAGTAGGTGATAGTTAAAGATATTCTCTCTATTCATCATATTTAGAACAATTCTATTTCTCAAGAGTCAAGACTTAACCAAGCCCTCAAAAGCCTTCACCTCCAAATCTATCCATCCAAATGAACCCAAAGGATGTTTTTACTTTGACTTATTTCAGTCACAGATCAGAGTAAACTAGACTTCGACAGTAGTAAAATACACGGTGACAACAAACCAGAAAATTTCAATCTAATTAAATATATCCTGAAAAGTATAAAAGAGTAAGAATTTCATTTTGTTGAGAAATCCTTAGAGAAAAATATTTCTCTGTAGCAGTGTAGCCTCTAAACTCGTTGCGATTTAGCATAGGGAATATGGTTTCTGGAATATTTTGTTTGGCTTACACTATTTACTAGGACACACACGATACATGATTTCAATGATCATGCACCTGGTGAAGTTAAAATTTATCTCTTGTTCATATGCTGCAAAATTTGCTTATATTGGTTGAGATCAAGCAGTTTACGTTATAGACAAATTATTTGATGGTGACACTTTTGTTATCCACTTCTTTTCCTGTTTGTTGGTAGGTATTAAGCTGGTATCCTCGTGCATTATACTTTCCCAATTTTGCAACTGCAGAGCAATGTGAAAGCATTATTAAAATGGCCAAGGCAAACCTTCAACCTTCATCTTTAGCTTTTCGTAAGGGAGAGACCTCTGAAAATACCAAAGGAATAAGGACAAGGTAAATTTGTTCATTATAGATCGACCTCATTTCTTGCAAGGCTATAACTTTTGGCATCAACGCCATTCTTTCAAACATCATGTTTGCAAGCAAAGTAGTATCTATATGAAAGGATATTGATAACTATGATCGTGATAAAAAATACAATTTTTGGAAAGGTCTTTTGTCCTTCCAAGAAAGACTAGAGTTGCAGTTCTTGCTTGCAATCTTTGACTTTCATTGCTGACTTCAAGGCTTTTTAGTTTAAAATCTTGTATGCATAATAATTTCATTTAATCTCAGCTCTGGCATGTTTATAAGTGCTTCTGAAGACAAGACTGGAACTTTGGATCTCATTGAGGAGAAAATCGCTAGGGCGACCATGATCCCCAGGTCTCATGGAGAGGTAAAAGTTACTCGTAATATTTTATAAATTTGTGAAACTAAGAAAATTTAATTTGAGTAGAATTGCCTAGGAGTCCAATACATGCAAGCTAGCAGTATCTGTTTAATTACTAAATTTCTATTATGATTTTGATGATGAGGATGGTTGCCATCTTTCAGTCGTTTAATGTTCTGCGGTATGAAATTGACCAAAGCTATCATTCTCATTACGATGCATTCAACCCCGCTGAGTATGGCCCACAGAAGAGCCAAAGGGTATGCACAAATATGAAAGTTTTGAAAAGGTTATCTCATACCATCCTTGTATACTTAATTTTGATGGAACCCTTTCAGGTTGCTTCATTCTTACTGTACCTATCTAATGTTGAAGAAGGTGGAGAAACGATGTTTCCTTTTGAGGTAATAATACCACACTTGTTATGTTCGTCCCTCTTATAATACTCGTCTGTATTTAATTGGTTGCAGCATTAGCTATTTGTACAAACTTCACAAGTGAAATAGTAGATGTTGTGAATAGTTTTATAAAAATGTAAAAAGTAAGAGAGATGACGGAAAAGAATGAAAGCGGAATAAAAATTAAGGGTAGTAATACATGGAGTATTTTTAAATGAAAAATTTATCAAAAAAGGAAAGTGTTGCAAATATTTAAATACGGAGTATGAATTAAAAAAGCAAAATGCGGTAAACAAACAAATACGGAGAAAGTGGGTTTTATTCACTTTGTTTCTATTCTTTAATATCGTGGTAACTTCTGTTTTTTATATTCACAGCATGGGCAGAATATGGATAGTAATTATGCTTTCCGCGAGTGTTTAGGCTTAAAAGTAAAGCCCCGCAAAGGAGATGGACTTCTATTCTACTCACTTTTACAAAATGGTACAATTGATGCGGTAAGTTCTTAATTTTGTTGTTATTTTCGTTATACTTTATTTGAATAGTATTGCCGGTCGAAATGTTACGCATAATTATGGTATTTATTTGTTCATTTAAGAGTTAAGGTATCATGGTGCAACAATATTTGTTGTTAAAGTACTGATTATGCATTCAACTATCGTTTTTTACATAACATATTTTTTTGTTTATTTTTAAGGTGAAGAACTTTTTTAATTAACCAAGTTTTTTTTTGAATTAATAGTTACGAGTATATCATTAAACTTCGATTTCATATGTCGATTCATAGTACTCGATCCCATATACTTCGTATGTGGATTACATTCTTTTATATTTTCCAAGTATTTCCTTTTTCAATAGTTAAGACAATTGTATTCAATTTTAAACGTTAAGTCTTATTCATTAAGTCTAGTTTACTCGTACCGAATTTCAGATAAAAATTTAATCGAGAAGGCATTCAAATGAATTCTTGAAGATAACTGCGCTTTTAACTGCGCAATTATCTTCAAGAATTCATTTGAATGACTTCCCGATTGAAGTTTTAGCTTAAATTTGGTATGAGTAAACTAGACTTACTGAATACGATGCTCAAAAAATTTCATCAAAAAATTCTAGCGAGAACCAACCCAAATGGCGAAGGCCGGACAGAGCCTCATAAATAAGGCCTTATTTGAACTTTTTGTGTTAGTACGTGGCCTTATTTGCCACTTTTCCCTTGTTTCTACTATAGGTTGACCTAGAGTTTATGTAAGAGTTTAGAGCGCTCTTTAACAAGGTGCAGGAGTGTATAAAACACATGATAAATTGAGTACTTACTTTGAGGAATATGTTGTGAGATTTGGATTGGTTCAACATATGCAGACCTCGCTCCATGGGAGCTGTCCAGTGATCAAAGGACAAAAATGGGTGGCAACGAAGTGGATTCGGGATCAAGAACAAGATGATGAGTAATATGTCTATTCTACCCTTCTCAATTACTCTGTAATTTCAATCGTTACTATAGTTAGGAGGAGCTTCTAACCTTGAGATTCCCTATCTTTTGTGATTTGCAATCGGTATAAATGTATACCACTGTATTATATTCCACAAATAGGCCATTTTCTCTTGGTTATATTTTGGAGGATAATTTCTGTACTAACCTGCAAAACGGCTCAAAATTTAAATTATAATACTCGCTAAATATTTAAGGAATGGTATGACTCCCTCACGGATTCATCTCATTTTATGCCCATTTACCTGGATCCGGAACCTCTCCCTTGCTTTGCAGCAAGGTAAGGTGCCCGACTGATTAGCATCGTCCGATCAAGAAACCCATGGCCGCAGATTTTGGAGGACCGCATCTCGAGGCACCTTCTTCTTCATCAGTCCGTCCGTTGCCGCAAGGCTACGGCAGAGGATCTCAATCCCATTTACTTGCACCATTCCAAATCAGTTTATATAAAACTCATATATTCACTTTATCAATTTAGTTTTTCTCTGTAATTCATGATTTTCAATTTTTTCATCTAGTATTATTTTTTGAATTAAACTCTTACTTGTATTATAATATACTACCTCCGTCTCATTTTATCATTTTATGTGGCTTGTTTAGCACAACTATCAATTAAGTATTTGAGAAAATTAAAGTTGTGGTTAAGATTTGAGTATAATAAAGTGCAATACGGTGCACATATATTTTTCCAAAACAGAAAATATGACAGTTACTTTGGAACAACCAAAAAATAAAAGTAAGACTGGTAAAATGAGGTGAAGGGAGCATCGTTTTTTTGCAAATATTTTTTTGTGAATAGTTATAATTCAAAAACTCAAAATATTTGATGCAAAAATAAATAAATTTGAAGTTGAACTTTTTTGTCGGTAATTCAGACCTCTTTTTGAAAACAATTAACCGAAAGATGTAAAAAATGTTTTAATACTGACATCTTAATCTTACCACTTGGATCCACTTGAGAAAAAAATTATGTGTAAAAAGCTTTAGCAATTGGAGCTTTAAAGCTCCAATTGCTAAAGCTTTTTACACATAATTTTTTTCTTATGTATGCAATATTTATTAATGTTATACGAAATATCACAAAAACTAATTTCTTTATCAACAAAGAAAGTAGGGACTCTCTTGTAAAAGTGTAAAACTGGAGTATATATAAAAAAGTTATAATGTTTAAAAACTGAGACATTTTTTGGCTTTAGGGTCTCTCACTACTGATTTCCAATTTCCCTTCCTCTTCCACGTAGCAATCACTAATTTTACTTCAAAGAAGAGGCATTTTTCCATTTCCTTTTCAGTTTCAGGTCCCCCCACCCATGGGTGGTAGATAACCATATGACTAGTGAAGTTACAGTGATGCGGTTTACATGGAGCCATGGAGGGGAGACGAATGTTGATGAGGTTTATAACTCATGTATGAGAGTTTAAAAATGGGAGGGGATGATTTTGGAAGACTTTTGTAAACTTCCAAAATCCTCTAAATACTCAATTTCTAAAATTCTCAAAATTTGAAAGGTTTTAAAAGATAATTAATGAAAAGATAATTTAAGCTTAATTATAATTCTTTCAAACACTCTCCTCACAAAATTTATTACTCCCAAATACGAAAAAATGTTTCTTCATCACCTCTCGCACTCTTTCTCCTCCAACAACTTACATTTAAAGTCTTCTCATTCACTTTCTTCTGAATTCCCAAACATACTCTAAGAAATTCATACTAGTATGCGATTAGGGATGGACAGATGTCGTTTTCGAATGGGCCGGTCTACGATAGATAATTGATTTTTTTACTGAACCTAGGTAAAGCTAGAGCCGGCTCCTAGCGTTCTGGTTCCATTTAAGAATTAGGGAATTTTTCAGAAATAGACTATAAAATGAAACAATGTCACTGACTGAGGTATGCCGACTAGACTGAAGGGTAAATTTTATAGGACAACAATTAGGCCTGCATTACTGTATGACGTAGAGTGTTGGGCGGTGAAACAATGTCACATTCATAAGACGAGTGTGGCAGAGATGCGCATGCTGCGTTGGATGTGTGGGCATACTAGGAAGGACCGCGTGAGGAATGAGACAATCAGACAAAGGGTGGGAGTAGCACCTATTGAAGACAAGATGCGGGAGTCGCGCCTACGGTGGTTTGGTCATGTGCGTAGAAGACCGAGTGATGCACCTGTTAGGCGAGTTGAGATGTGTGGAGAAGAGGCAGGGAAGAGAGGGAGAGGAAGACCCAAACAGACGTGGGTTAGGGGAGTTCGAAGTGATATGCTTCTTCTGGGGTTGGATGAGGGCATGACTTTGGAGAGAACTAAGTGGAGGGCGGTTATTCACGTGAAGGAGTGATCTTGATAATCTTTTTCCCTCATCCTTTTTTTCCTAGTTTTTTTTATCCTTATAAATATAAGCATTATTTGCAGCCTTTTTATTTTATCATTTATATATATATTCATCTTTTTTTATATTATCTTTTCATAATAGCTCATCTTTTTATCTTTATTCCTTCTTTTCCTTTTGGTTGTGATATCATGTATCGATTCATGTTAGCCGACCCCAATATCTTTTGGGACTAAGGCTTGGATGTTGTTGTTGTTGTAGACTATAAAATGAAAGTAATATCACTTTTGTCACTACTTAGTCTTTGGTTTTCAAAAATAGACATGCACATATGATCTGCACTCTCTTGATAGTACATGCAACCGAGCTACTCGAACGGATACTCTTAGAGCATCCGTAGTGGAGAAATCGATCGTTCACGTATTAATTGCCACATCAGATAAATGGATTTTTTGGTTAATTTGCCGGCTCCAGCGGAAATGTCTATGTACCCTGCCCTGCTGAGTTGGAACGGAAAAAAACGCACGCCCTCCCCCTCGATTTCTACTTTCAGCAAGGCTATCAGAAAGTCTGACTCAGCAAAAATTTATCTACCCAGAAATTCTGAGCGGCAACTGAAAATATTTCCGCCAAATCTCAAAACTATACCCTCCAAAAAGGCAAGGCTCCTCAAACTCCTTTTCCCTACTTTCTTCTGCGCACCTGCTCTCTGTACTCTTGGCATCTTCTATTCGCACCTGCATGAAAGTCTGAAGGCTTCCAGGTATTTTTTTAACCTTCTCCATTTGATTGAGTTCTGATCGATAACGAATTGTAATCTATACATATTATCACTAAATTAAACTTCTTTAAATTTCCTGCAATTTTCCTTCTCTGTGTAGTTTTCCTGCTGTAATTTTAGAGTTCCATTTTGAAAAAACTTTCTCCATATATTACTTGATTTTATGTTAGATTGTTAAATAACTATTCAAAATTGTTAACAATTTATAGGCAGATCGTTTTGTTTTTTTGTGAAGTTCGTAAAATTCTATTGTGAAAAAACTTTCTCCATATATTACTAGATTTTATGTTAAATTTCCTCTTAACAATGCTGAAACTATTACAGAAGCATGAGTGGTAGCGGAAAGAATCAAATCATGAGTCATTTTTAAACTACTATCATCTTCTTTTGATGATTCATCAAATAGTTTATTCGTCAATAACAACGCATCACCGTCAGATAATGAGCTATCACTATCAAAGTTTGACTCTGAAGAAGACATTATTATATCATATCACCTGTAATTTACAAGAAAAGTATAAGGTTGAGTATAATTCCTTAATATTATATGATAATGGTGATTGACATTAATAATATTTTAATCTCCTAAGAACTACACGACTTTTGTAAAGAATCACTTGAGTATGCTTATCACTTTGTATATATAGATAATCAATAGAAATCATTTACACCCACTTCCATATTAAGTATAAACGTGCAGGCATACACACACATGTTTTATTGGTTGTCTTTCAACTCATTATTACTGAAGTAAATGAACCAATGGCATCTCTACACTGGGGAGCCTAATAAGAAAACACAGTGGGAGCATGCTAGACAAGCAACTTTGGGAGAAATTTAGATAATGATTGCCTCAGGAATGAGCTCACAAATACCAAGTACTTGACTTTGTATTTAAGGTTCGAAATCGACATGTTGGTGAAAGTGAAACCAAAGCATGTTTTATTCTTATACAAAAATACTTGCGGCTGAAAGAGTAAAGAAATCAAGTCATGTTTTATTCTTATATAAAAATATGTTGGGGAGACAGCAGTTGCATGTTTGATACAAAATCGTGGAGGTGAATTTGGGTGGACCAGTCAAAGTTGTTGGTTATTGTTTAGATGCAAGTATTAATAAGATGGTGCTTTATGAGAAGGCAAAAAGGGACGAGCACGGGAGGGGAGAAGGGGCATGCGTCCACCCCCAATAAGCTCCGGCCATGGAGTACGGCGCCTCGTGGGCTTCACGCGACCCTGTCCAGGTGACCAGGTGAGCCCCTCCATCCTTAAAGCGCAATATATATACATATAACACGAAAGAGCAACAATGCTAAATCTTTTCAAACAAAAATTTTCTTTTCTACACACCTTAAAATTTATGGGGTTCGTAGCTGTTATAAAGCATAGAATTAGAAAGCAATTCACGTATCCTCACATAACCCACTTTGAGAAACTAGGAAAAGGCCTGGGAAAATATAAAACAATACTAGAGAGGAGGAAAATCATAACCTGGATGGCCTTGTAATTCAAAAGGCAGTGAGCGAAGGAAAGCCTGCAGGATCGCGGAAACGGGCGGCGCATAAGTCAGTAACGGTGGCAGTAGGTGTTGAGGAAGAGGTCGTAGAGGATCGAGCGTGAAGAAGAATTAACTGAGGCTGTTATTTAGTTATATGATGTGGCAGTATGAATAGGCAACGGATTATTCAAATCCAGGGTACCATTGAAGTCTAAAAATCAGTTTAAAAGTCCGTGTGTCCATATAAGCTTCATGGGCTTTCTATTTGGGTGACATGTCCATTTTTAATGGAGTTCAATCCATTTGCCCATTAAAGATGCTCTTAGAGCATCTTTAACGGGAGCTTCGATTGATGTGAATGCATTGCCACGTCGCATCCCACAAAATTACTATCTCCAACGCAAACGTGCGTTTTCTCTATGGTGCTGAGTTGTAATGCAAATGAATGGACAATGCATGTCTATCTTCCTTTCTAGATGTAGCGGGTATGTCTAACATCTTGAATCAGCATAACATTAATTATGCAGAGTAATACGACGTAGTACTTCATTAGCATTTGCCCTCTTTCCCTTCCTGCTGCAGTAGTACCCAATCGGATGACTAACTCCGGCACCATCTCACAAATCGCAGTCCTTTTTCATGGAGCGGCGCTCCTCCTCTAGGCGGCAACGGCGGGCAGCCTCTTTTTTCTCCGACGATTGTCTTCAAAATAGAGAATTACTTCCCTTCCAATTTTCAGATCTCAACCAATGTCTCTGGTCTCTTTCGTTGTTGTTGGCTATCATCCCTTTTATTCCCCATCACGTCAGCTTCCTCTATAGAGGATAGATATCATTTCGGCTCCAACCTTAGCTTGAGGAGATGGGGTAATAGGGAGTCAGGGACTTCTTTCTCGTCCCACATGCTGGAAGCTCATCGAAATCAATTTCTGCACTCATTCTTCCATGTTTTAATTTGGTTC